GCCAGCTCCATAGGCTTATTTTATTTATTTTTATTTTGCCTCTACTTCTGCACAGGCCAAAGCCAGCTCCATAGGCCCTGGAGAATGCTGAGGCCTATTTAAGTTTGCTTTGTGGTGGGTTTTTTTTCTATTTTTACCACATGGAGCCCACGCCAAATGGCCCAGCAACTAGGCCGAGTGGGCAGTGGGAGCAAGATGATGGCAGGTGAGGTAGGGTAGTAGGGCTTAGGACAGCAGGGGGCAAAAAGACATAGATGACAGGAGCAAGATAGGTAGGTGCTAGGAATTGTAGCACCCTTGTGGCCGTAAGTGCAGATGGGCTGCTATGTGTCCTGATTCTGGTGACCATGGTCATGTGACTATCGGTAAGGTGACCAATCGTCCTCCTTTACAAGAAGCTAAGGGAAATGGAGGCTTTGGCTTGCCAGATTGGGTTTTATATTATCAAGCATCAGTGTTAACACGGATAAAAGAATGGATAGCTTTTAAAAATAAAAGGTTGCTATATGTGGAGGGACATGACCTGCAACTTGGTTGGCATGCTTTTCTATGATACAGAAAAAATAAAATACATAAATACTTCCAAAACCACTACATTAGAGATGCATTATTATTAACTTGGGAAAAAATAAAATGCAAAATTTATTTGAAAATTCCAGGATGGCTTTCAACAATGGAAGCATTCGTACATACAAATCTAGTCAGTCTCGATAAAATATGGACATACAAAGATATTTTAAATTCTGAAGGGAACTTAGGCAAGAGATGGAAAATCAGGGCTTCGATTTAACATGGTGGTCACATTTACAAATGCAAGTCAGATATGATAATGATATTAAATAGTATGGATTTTACAAAGAACAGACTATGTTTGACTTCTGATGAAAAGTTAATTAAAAATGTACAATTTCTTATTAAATTTCAAAATGGAAGATGAACAAGTAAAAGAGACAATGATAATATGGGCAAAGAATTTTGGATATAATATAGACTTAGAAAAGTGGCAAAGTTTGTGGGAAAGAAACTATAAATTGACAATGTCAGCTTCATACAAAGAAAACTTATATAAAATGTTTTATAGATGGCATTTGCCATCAACAAGATTAGCAAAAATGTTTAAAAACATGTCAGAGAAATGTTGGAAATGTAAACACAAACCAGGTACTTATTATTATATGTGGTGGACATGTTTAAAGCAAGGAGATATTGGACAATAATGCACATTTGGTTAGAAAAAATGTTAGAGAAACACATAGACTATAAACCTGAATTTTTTTTACTAGGTATAATGCAAAGTACATATTTGATTCTATATTTGATAACAGCAGCAAGAATTATATTTGCACAATATTGGAAGAACGAAGAAATACCACCAGAAGAAATAATCAAAAAAAATTAGATTGTACGGAAATGGACAGACTTACTTTAAGGTTAAAAGAAAAAGAAGAAACAGAATATTTTCAAACTTGGGACCTATTTTATCAATGGTTAGAGAAAAGATTTAGGGATTAGGAATTTAATTTGCATTAGTGAATAAGATACTCAGACAACACGTTTTTGTGGAATAATTATTGAACTCTGTTAAAAATAATAATAAAACTTAAAAAAAAAAAAAGAAACAAGAACTTCCTGCAGTTAGAACAGAGGTGTTAAACTCGTTGCATCACGTGACGTGTTGCGACGTATCACAACTTTTTTCCCATTGCCGGAGCTGGGGTGGGTGCGGCTTCCGCGTGATGCATCCAGCCCACGGGCTGGTAGTTTGACACCCAAGTTAGAATGTGCAGGCTGTAAACCTAGGTGGAGGGCCTCTCCCTTTGCCAAAATATAAATAAATCAGTTGCTATATTTATCTTTCAGCAGAAAAGCAATGCTTAGATAGCATTTGGAGTTGCCAATAGAGGCATCCCATACTTTCACAGTCCCAGCCTGATCAACACACGTCTATATACAGTAACTTTTGACAGGAATCAATTTTAATGCCATTTAGTTTTACTACATGGCACAAAGAGCCATGGAAAGATACATGCTCGGCATTACAAGACAAGATAGAAAGACCTACACATGGATTAGAGAACAAGCAACAGTATACGATATCATCAAGAGAGTAAAAGAATTGAAATGGAAATGGGCTGATCACATAGCAAGAAGAATTGAAGGCAGGTGGATCATGAAAGAGACCTAAAAAAGACGGATCGGTGACATCAGCAAGCATGACAAAAGAACGCTCAGGACCATATTGGCTGGAAATATGCGGAAGAGGTCTTCATCCTGCAGTGGATAGATAATGGCTAAAATGATGATGACGATGAATTTTACTATAGAGATGAGAACTCTTCATGAGCAGAATGCTCTTTTCTCAAAAGCTCAAGGCCACCCAAGTATTTTATAATCCAGGAAAGGACAAAGTGCTCCCTTGCTCCCAATTCCTTGAATCAAAACAAATAGCAAACAATTAAGTCTTAGAGAAATATGAAGACTAATTTTTTTGACAAGAGGATACCTAGATAGCTGAGGGGGAGGAGGCAACGTCCTGGATGGTGGTGCTCGGCCTGTATTTGTGCTCCAGGCAGCACCAATGCTTTGTCTCCTCTGTATTTTGTCAGGGAACATGTGGGCATACAAATGACAGTGCAGGTGCTCTCGGTGTCATGTGATTGTGGGCAGTCATGAAGAATTATCATCAGAATCAGTATTATCCAGTGCAGAGTAGAAAACACTCTGGCTTGGCCTCATTTCACAAATACGGATGGGGAGGGTAGCAAAAGCTGAAGAAGGAAGCAGCAACTCTGAGCCCCAGTTCAGACAGCTTTGATACCCTGCCCCATATATGTGCATGACATCTGGTCAGACAATCTTGGGAATGGTGTAACCGTCTTATAGGCATTTTTTAAGATCCTGAAGTATCCTGGTCACAGCCATGTTTGTGTCTTAACCTCACCCATGGTACTTTACCATCCAGCCAACTCAGTCCCCATCACCTCCCCCTCTGAGTTAGTTGTGATCCCGGTCATCTAAACCTTTTATTCACCATGGACCCCCTTTAAATATCTTTTGTGGTCACAACCATGACCACAGACCAGCAAGATTTAACTCATAAGATTTTTTCAAGCTTTGGCAGACCCTCTGTGACAACATCGTGCGATGGAGAGGAGAACAGGCCAGCTGCCCCTGGGACCCTTTTGTCATATTCTATCTAGGACATTCCTATGTAAAAGGATTCAGATATGCAAATGGAATGATTTTCCAAACAAGTTTCCTCAGAGTATTTAAAAGTTGTTCTTCAACCATGCATACAGAAAAGCTTTTCACATTTAATCAAAATCATAGAACTATCAGTTCCTAGTATTGTCTGCAGAGAGCATAATAATTCAAGATCAGAGAAGACAGCATTGGTGGTGGAGGAATCTTGCTGAAAAAAAGAAAATGCTGGAGATTTTTTTGTCATGAGCCACTCCCAAATTAAAGCAGCAAAAAAAATGGTGCCCGAGTACCTGCTTCACCTCCTCAAATCTTCTTCCATGGCTGCAGATTATCCAGCTGTATCATTCCCTTGATTTCATACACTCCAATTGTGAGCAGTAGGAACTAGGAGATAGGAGAATTTTTTTAGGAACAATACATTAACAGTGTACCCAGGGAAGTGTGTATAATTGTGTTGTTGTTGTTAGTTGTGAAGTCGTGTCTGACCCATTGCGACCCCATGGACAATGTTTCTCCAGGTCTTCCTGTCCTCTACCATCTTCTGGAGCCCATTTAAGCTCACTCCTACTGTTTTAGTGACTCCATCCAGCCACCTCATTCTCTGTCGTCCCTTTCTTCTATTGTCCTCAATCTTTCCCAGCATTAGGTCCTTCCTTCTCATTAGGTGGCCAAAGTATTTGAGTTTCAATTTCAGGATCTGGTCCCTAAAGAGCAGTCAGGGTTGATCTCCTCTAGGACTGACCGGTTTGATCACCTTGCAGTCCAGGGGACTCGCAGGAGTCTTCTCCAGCACCATAGTTCAAAGGCCTCAATTCTTTTGCACTCAGCCTTTCTTATGGTCCAACTTTCACAGCCATACATTGCAACTGGGAAAACCATGGCCTTGACTATACACACTTTTGTTGGCAGGGTGATGTCTCTGCGTTTTAGTATGCTGTCTAAATTTGCCATAGCTTTCCTCCCCAGGAGCGTCTTTTAATTTCTTGGCTGCAGTCCCTATATGCGGTGATCTTGAAGCACAGGAAAATAAAATCTCACTACCTCCATTTCTTCCCCATCTGTTTGCCAGGAATTGACATTTACAATTGTATAATTGTAAAATTATACAAATATAAAAATTTAACTTTCATACATTTCTTTTGAAAAGTATAAGTAGCTTCAGGAATGAAAGTGTGAACAAGTATTTGAAGTGGAGTTTTTTGGGAAATTGTTATTGTACGTGGTATATAGTATCAGTCTAGCCATTCCCCCTTACAAATATGTGAGGTTTCTTTCTGTTTTCTGTGCCACTCACACCCTTGAGCACAGATTTATATATTATTGGGGTTTGGGGATTACGTGTTAAGCAGCCCAGAAGCTTTAATAAGTAAAGCATTAAACATCCTTTAAAATATCCTGATGGGGTCACCCTATGACTAACCAGATGGAGAACCCGAGATGAATTCAGCTTGATGAAGAAGTAATTCTGCTGGCTTTCAGGAGAAGGAAAGCTGAGCTGAGCAGGATGCAAGACCTGAGTGGGGTGGATTTGGTTTGAGCAAAACAAAAATTGCAATGCATATTTTTGATTTACTGAATGAGGCAGGAAAGTGTGATAGTTGAAAGAAACTGGAACTGCTATAGACATTTGAGATTGTTTCACATTACAGAGGATGGTTAGTTCTTTGGAAAGAAGAAGACACTTGAAATCCAATTCCTTGTAGTAAGGGACAGGAGACTACTCTTCTCATACTCAATGTGTATCTTCTGCTGCTTTGTTCAGGACTAGTAAGATGTAATGGTGCAAAAGAATAAAGTTTTTGTGTGTTTTTTTTCTTCTTTTATTTTCCAAGTACCTTCCAATAAAATACTTGCTTGGACCAAATAATGCAAACACAAGCAGGTTCATGTATAGTTTTCTCAAGACATAAACATATTACCTGAGTAATCATTTTTCTGATAGTTAATATATTTGTTTGTTTTCCAAACTGAAATCCACCCTTTTATACTCAGTGCATACATTTTAGGTCCCATAAGACACAGCCCTATATGCCCTAAAAAGTTTTATTTTTTTTTCAGCCCAAATATCATGGCTAAAAAAAAAATCAAACATGCATTTGTTCCTTATGCTCAACAGTATCATATTTAAATATGACAGTCTTTGTGTGCAACATCTGATTCCTTCACTTTTTCACCAGCCCACCTGTACCTACGCATTAGCAAACTAACCTTTGTGTTTCCGTCACTTTTATGTAACAGGTTCCAGCCCTGTAAAAATCTTCTTACATTCCAGAATCTCATCTCTTTGAGCAAAAGAGTCACCGATTCAAGATTCTGTGAGACCTAACACATTTTTGCACATCCTCACTGTACAAATGATCGAAAACATTAGGATGGAATTTTTTTTGGGGTTAAATCTTAGAGCCTGTATATAATTACCATATTTGAGTTGCCAAAATCTGGATGACCATTAGATGGGAGCTATCCTCTAGTGACCATCCTGATTTTTGCAGCTCAAATATGACAGCCTCCTTATCTACCCAAGGACAAAGTCCCAAATTCACCCTTTCAAGAAATCTCACTAAATGTCCAGATATTTATAACATTTAAAGAAAATAAAAACGACAATGAGAAACAAGGACCACTTAGTTACAGAATGCGTATTAAAATTTTCTACTAATTAAAGGACAGAGAAGTGTGATCCACCAGATGTTGTACAGCTATAGTATAAATTCCACTGCCTATAATATTGTTAAATTTGGCTGGAGTTCTTGGGAGTTATAGTTCCATAACAGCCAGTTGGGTGTAATTCCTTTACTTTATGCTATGAAATGGCTGAGATTTGGACATAAAAAAAAATGAAAAAACAACCCCCCCCCCCAAGACTAGAGAGGAGTCAGAAGTAAAATTTCCAAACTGTATGGAAATAGAGTGAGAGCCAGAAAGAAACCTAACAAAAGAGAGAGTCAGAACAGTATTTCTCAACCTCCACAACTTTAAGATGGACTTCAACTCCCAGAATTCCCCAGCCAGCATGTGAGTTAAAGTCCATACATCTTAAAATTGCTGAGGCTGAGAAACATTGGGTTAGAAGTTAAGATCTGGAGAAGTTTCTTCAGAATCCCCTGGTGCTGAGTAGAATAGCCTAGGTGGCAATATTTTTAGGATGTCCAAATCGCCTTGTCACAAAGCAGACCAAAAGTAGGGATTTCTGAGTTCAATCTCGGATTATTCCTTCAATCCCCACCTAGTCATGACATATCAAAATTAAACTTACACTGAGTCTTATTTGTTCCCTTAGCCTCCAGGGCCTATGATAGGATTCCTTGCTATGGCAACATCACTTTGCCTTCTCATTCCTGCTGCTGGGGGTTCTCTGAAGCACCCTGTTTGCCTTTTGGGGAGCCCCATTTCCTCTTGGCCCCCAACACTGTTCCCAGGATGAGGAAAACCACAGCTCCCACATGGATGCAGTAATAGACTGAGCTCCAATAGTGAATGGTATCCTCAAAGGTAAGCAACACAAAACCCATACACATGTAGTCATAAGCCCTCATCTTCAGAAACCACTGTATCCAGTCACCCCAAAGACGCCCCGACAGGGAGAGGTGCCTCAAGAATCCACTCTCCATGGCTCCCTCAGCTGCTAAGCAGAGCGGGATGGTAAGGAAGCTGAGGTAATACCCAGGGTGGATCCCATGCCAGTAGGCCGAGATAAGCATTGTCCAGGCACTCCTGAAAAGAAAAGAGCCTGGTAAGACATTTATTCATCCCCTCAAAGCAATCCAAGCACCCACCTATCCCCAAATCCTTCACATGCCTGCTGATCATTTCCAACTCTGCTATGGCTCTTATTAAATTTAGCTCAGTGTTTCCCAACCTACAGAAGTCTTGGACTTCAAGATCCCGGTCAATCTATGTTGGCTTGAGAACAATGGGAGCTGAAATCCCTATAGAGTCACCAAAGATGGGAAAGGGTGATGATGCAAGTGTTCACCGCGAGCCTTCAAAACAAGTAGCTCCTGTCCCAGAATCCTTGTTTCCACAAGATGATTTCTACAGCCTACTCTCATGCCAATCCAACTGACCGCACGCCTCCAAGTTCACCTTCAAGCCCAGCCTATCACTTCCTCTTCAAAGACTATTTCTTGCCCTCAACGACACTTTATTTGAATCCAATGCCACTTGACGCACCTCAGGACGTAGGAGTGGAACGGTGCGCTTTTGTAGATGTATTGTGCCAACCACCACTGGACAGTCATGTTCCAATAGCGCATGCCATCCTTTACTTTGACACAAAAATCTGCCCCGTGCGGATCAATGTTTTTGATAGTCTCATAATCATAGGCAACACTGGATGCTTCCCCGTCAGCTGATCTGCTTGCAAGAGAAGAGAAAACCAATTCTTTCATGCATTTTTCATGTCCAGAATTGCTCTAAAAATGTTCTCTGTATGGGGCTGACCTTAAAAATGTTGTTAACAGATGGAATCTGCTACTACCTTTCCAAATGAATCAATTCTGATTGGGATTATCATAGACCAATGTAGCTTTCCTCCTACCGTGTTCATTAATGGGATAACCTGCCATCTGTTTTGAACACCTTGTTTTTTGGAAGGGAGAATGGTATTGGCACAGACAAAACAAAAATCTGCAAATTTATATTCAGCTAGTTAGAATCACAGAGTTGAAGGGACCTTGAGGGGTCTTCAGGCAGGAGTCTCCATTTTTCATGGGGCGCTTAGCAACCGGTTGTAAGTGCAAACAGGTTGCCACACGTGGCTGAAATGTGGTAATGTGACCATGAGGGGATGGGCAAGTGGGTGCTGTGAAACATTTGACAACAGCCAGAAGTGTTTTACAGGCTGTCAAGCACCATTCTGAGACTGCCATAACTTCAAATGGTTGTTAAACGACTGGTCATAAATCAAGGACTACCTCTAGTGCAGGTGTCAAATTCAATTTCACTGAGGGCCACATCAGCATTGCGGCTGCCCTTGGGGGGCCGGGTGGGTGTGGCCAGGGTGGGCATGACCTAGTGGGTGGGCATGGATGATGTGGCCTACTGGGTGGGCGTGGCCAACTCTACATTGTTCGCGTCAAGGGTGCCTGTGGAGGCCTGGGCAGGAGTGGGACAGATCTGAGGTCTCTGGAAGGAGGTGGGACCGGGGCAAGCGCCAAGGCAGAATGCATTTCTTCCTTCCTCACAAAGGGTGACACCTCCCCAGCATGCACCCAGGGGGTGGGGCCAACACGGCAGGGGCTGGTTCCTCGCTGTTTCCAGACAGCCTTGTGGACCTAAGACTGAATGTGTTTCAGCATAGATGGCCACCACAAGATTGTACATTGGCTCCTGGCTGGCCTGGGCTAGGGCCAAGGCAGTGGGGGCCGTTTCCTCACTGTTTCCAGGATGGCTTCACGGGCCAGATGAAACTACTTCGTGGGCCGCATCCGGCCCCCGGGCCTTGTGTTTGACATGTCTGCTCTAGTGTCATGGAAAGGTTAGCTCTGTTAAACTGTGTTGTACTCTGTATTACTAATGAGTCTTTTGTTTGTGATCTTCAGAGTTCTTAAAAATAGTAAATGAAGATAGTTGTCTATGCAGGTAGTCCTTGAGTTATGATAATTGAGCCCAACATTTCTGTTGTTAAGACATTTCTTAAGTGGGTTTCGCCTCATTTTATGACCTTGCCACAGTTGTTAAGTGAATCACTGCAGTTAAGTGAATCTGGCTTTCCCCCTTGACTTTGCTTGTCAGAATGTTGCAAAAGGCGATCATGTGACCTTGAGATATAGCAATGGTCATAAGTATGAACCAGTTGCCAAACATCTGAATTTTGATCAATTGATCCTGGGGATGCTACAAAGATTGTAACTGTGGAAAATGGTGGTAAGTCACTTTTTTCAGTGCCATTGTAACTGAATTGTCACTAAACGAACAGGACTACCGTAGATATTTGGCAGTAGAACTTAGTTTTTACTTTTGGTATGGTCCCAAAGTAAATTTGCTAACCTAAAGCAAAGGGTGTTATTCCTGTGCAACATTGGATATAGCTTGTCAATATGTAGCAGTTTTCAGCAGAACTAACATGCAAACAACCAGTGCTATTTCATTTCTCTCTCACAAGGAGTTCAGATAATGGTTGTACAGGTAATCCCTGAATTGTGAATGTTCACAGTTATGCAATAAGTGCCCCCTAGTGCTTATGAGCAAGTCCTGGAATTACAAATGTTGCCACACCACGGCAGTTGTTCACCCTTATGAATGACCGCAGTGGCACTGCAACATTCCCCCTTGTTATTCCCTCCCTTCCCCCCTGCCCCGGGTCTCTTTTCTCTTGGCTCTTTTATGACTCGTGGCCTTCAACTCCCAGAATTCCTGAGCCAGTCCACGAGTCATAAAAGAGCCAAAGTTGCCTACCCCTGCCCTAGGCCTTCAATACTCACCCTGGGAAGAATAAGATCCTTCGCTTTCTTGGCTGCCCCAGGCCTTCAGTGAGTTCGCAGAGAACGGAAACCTAAAGTAATGCAAGATCACACAAGATCAGTGGTGCCAGATCTCATGCTACTGATCTTGCGTGATCTCATGGTACTTTAGGCTTCTGTTCTCTGCAACAGAGAACGGAACTGAAGCCTCCATGTGCCTCAGGAGGCCTGATTCAGGCATCAGAGGCCTTTTCCAGGTTGCTGCCATCCGGAAGTGAGGCCAGGGGACGCTTCATGCCTCCAGAGGTCCAATCCAGGCGTCGGAGGCCTTTTCCAAACTGCTGCCGCTCAGAAACAGGCCTCCGGAGGTACATGGAAGCATCCCCTGGCCTCAGATCTGGGTGGCAGTGGCCTTGAAAAGGCCTCCAACACCTGGATTGGGCCGCTAGAGGCACGTCCCCCAGCCTCAGATCCGGGTGGCAGCAGCCAAGAGGAGACGGATCTTTTCAAGGTGAGTCCGGCGGGGCAGGAAGAGAGGGGGAAACATGAGGTATCTTAGTGGGGCGGGGAGGCCTTGGGGGCCTGTTCCATCACTAGGCCCTCCATGTGCAGTTAATGAGCCACGCATTCACCCATGGATTCGATTAATGAATGCGTGGGCGAAAGCAGGGAGTAAATCCCATTCAAGGTACAAGAATTCTTGAGTTATGAATGGAATGAGTTTTGGAACAAACAGTATGTCCAGACAAGCCAAGGGCCAGGAATTAGACCAATGTTCTACTACAGGGACCTCAGGTAAGTTTCATGCAAGAATCAGAACTGAGTTTTAAGTCAGTTACAATCATATGAACCAGAAAGAGATCAGCATCCTGTGAGAAAAAATATATACCCCATTTCCATGCTATAATTAGTACACTTCTTATTTGAGAAGGAACTTCTCATGACTCTAAAATTGGTCTGTAGAACTCAAACACACGAAGGCCCAATTTGTACATGTTCAATGAAAAATAAAGAGAAGGTGGACATAAAGCCTCTGCAAAGATCAATGTGTCTGTTTCCTTTAAACTGTCCCAACTCCACAAATAAGGCGGAATATTTTAGCGTTGCTATATCTAAGGAATTGGTGGTGATTCTTTTGGTGAGAAGTGGCCCCAGGAAAGCACTTCTTATGAAGCCTGTGGTAACAATTCACTGTTATTAGTGCTGTGTGAAAACCAGAAGTATTTTAGAGAAGGCAGAGCCAAAGGAAGAGGTTCCTGACTTACCGACTTAAAGGCTCATATTCCACTGTAGGTCCCCCACCTGACCGAGATTTGGCAGTGACTGGATAGGCACCAAAAGCAGCAGCGATGCAGGCGCACTCGGCGCAAAGCCACGCAACATAGAAGCGCATCCGGAAGACGAAGAAGATGGGCACCATGTAGAAGATGCGAAAAGGGAGTCCTCTCTCGTAGAAGGCGTTGCTTCGGACGTAATCGAGGGGGAAGAAGTGGGAGACAATCAGGAAAAATATTCCAAAGATCGGGATCATTCTGGATCTGGAAAGCATCGGCCGCCAGCTAGGGATAACAGAAGGCTCAATCTGGCTCAACCAGTCATGATATGTACGATAGCGATAAAATGGGCCTGGGTACCAAAACAGAAAACAATGAAATATTAAGATCAAAGAGCAGAGGGAGAAGCATGCCTGAGGAAAAATAAAACAAGGCCAGAGAGAGCATCACACATACACAGTTGAATCACTTAAGACACTGTTTCCATACCCTGATTTCCTCTAGTTGTATTCACACTATTTCTCTTAATCCAAGGCCACTATAGGTAGTCCTCCACTTATGATCATAACTGGGGCCAGGATTTCTGTTGCTAAGCAAGGCAGTTCTTAGGTGAGTTATGTCCAATTTTATGTCCATTTTGCTGCGAATCACTGAACTTATTACATGAAACACAAGCTCATTAAGTAAATCTAGCTTACCCCATTGACTTTGCTTATGGAATGGAAGCCAGCTGAGGTTGGAAATAGCAATCACCTGACCCTGGGATGCTGCAACTACTATACACACATGCCCATTGCCCAGCACCTGAATTTTGATTCAAGTGACCATGGGAACACTGCAATGATCATAAATGCAAAGACCGGTCATAACTTTTTTCAGTGCCATTGTAATTTTGAATCATCGCTAAATGAACAATTGTTAACTCGAGAACTACCTGTAATTTAGTGGAGGGTTGTGAGATGTTATCCAACATGTTTTGGGGGCTTCTGTTTTGGATAGGCTTGCTGGGTTAAGGTTGTGTGTGATTTGGAAATACACAGGGATGTGCTAATTGCACAATTTTATGATTTCCTATAGATTCTGGCAAAAAAGCATAATGCCTGGTATCTTACTTTTTGTTGTAATTTCCTGTCTTCCTGTTTGCAGCAGCATTACATGATCATTTCTCATGCAATTCTCACAAAACAAAAAGGAGAAGCTGTAAAAGTGAAGTGTGTAGGCTAGTGGGAAGAATAGTTATTTCTGTCTGATCAGCAAGGTAGTTTCAAACACACTTCTGCAAAAAATACAAGAGGCCACATTTACACACAATGATCAGGCACAATACCAAGAGCAATAGGTGGCTGACGTGAGAAGCAGATGAGAAGGTAAAAGTGGAATGGGCTTTATTGTTTTCAACTTGTTCTGATCTCTTAACTACCTTTTCCTTTAAAAAGAAATTGTAACAATACAGAGTAGTTCGTTAGCCCAATATTTTCCCTTACTGATATTAATACATGTGGCGAGAAGATGCCAACATTTTAAAATGTCCACAAAACCACTGCTCATAAGACTGTGAAAGGGAAGATGCATCACAGGTGTTTATACCTGTAGACATATTACACTTCCTATTAGCCAGCTCACCTTACCTGTCATAAGCCCCACATAGCAGTAACAATAGCACAGTATCTCCACCAGCCCCGGTTTTTGGAGAACTGCACCAATCATCGGAGTTTTGGTAAAGGTTGTCACTTCCTGTTTCTTCGCCTGAATGAGTTCTTGTACCTCAATGGCTAAGCTCAGCAGCTGGGAGACAAAAATTCCAGAAAAAAAAGAACCTTAATTCCCCTTCAAGCTAAACACCCTTCCTTCCCATTATCCCAAGAATAGTCTGATACCTTAAGAGTGAGCAAAAGTTGCACAGCATTGGTGAATGGTGTTGGCTCTGGATAGTTGAAGTAAGTAACAGTGCGGAAAAAAAGTAAGTAGGAAAATGTCCATCCCAGTGTCAGGTGATGACAAGTCCTATTTTTTAAAAAAAGAGAAAAAAAGCAGAGAGGTTATCATTATTAATCCTTTTTTCTACACCAGTTTCAAAAGCACACATAGGTATCCTTGCATTGATTGTCCCACATAAACTAACCACTTTTCTAATCTACTGTTTCTCAACCTTAGCAACTTTTAAGATGCATGGACTGAAATTTTCAGAATTTTCCAGTCAACCTGCTGAGATCATGTGGCAAGTGGAAACCACGTGATCTGTTTCAGCCGAGATGATTTGAACAGACTGAATACAAGATTCTGCCCACTTGAGGGTATAGATAACCTTTAGAAACCAGAAATCCTAACATTAGAGGTGTCATAATGTGCTATGTTTGGTTTTGGTTTAGCATGGTCTGCGAAAATAGGGATCAGTTTTATGTAAACCAAAAAAGCATAGCTTACCACAATTAAGCAAATCATTGCTTAGCAGGATGTGTGAATTAGTCAAAACCTTAAGGAGCTGCATTTATGCAAGTTAAAAAGATCCAAGCAACATTTATTGCTCGTAAAGACATCATTAAAAACAGTTAAGGGAGAGAACTGTCTGACCAACAAGGCATCAAGAACATATGGTGAGAATATACAGAACAGCTGCATGCAGATAGCAAAGGAGCCCAGTCTCAGGATGACATGAAAAGAGATAGAACCGATCTTCCTTGAGAAAGAGAATATTTGGGCAATGATCCAACTGCCAAACAGAAGACTCCAGATTCTGACACTATCCCTGAGGAATTATTGAAATCTGCATCGCTCACCATCATTAGAGACCTGGGCCAGAAAATTTGGGAAATCAACACGTAGCCACAGGATTGGAAATAGTGAAATGTTCATTCCATTGACAAAAAGGGTGACTCTAAAGATTGCTCCAATTATGACACAATTGGTGTCATTGTTTGCATCAGAAAAATTTTGCTTAAAATTATACAGCAATGTCCAGCAGAAGGTAATTACCAGTTGTCCAAGCCGGCTTTCAAAGTGGTCATGACACCCATGACCATATTGCAGATCTGCACTGGATCATGGAAAAATCTTGTGAATATCACTGTAACACAAATCAGGAAGCCACTGTGTGAATACCATATGGAGACACCAATTGGTTTAAGATAGAGAAAGAAGTGCAACAATACTGCATTCCCTTCCCTTTCTTATTCAACCTGTTTGCCAAAATTATGAGAAAGTTAAACCCTGAAGAATCAAAAATTGGGGTAAAGATTTGGTGGAAGTAACATCAACAATCTTCAATATGCTGACAATACAACTTTCCTCTCAGAAACCAAAGGAGGTCTGGAACACCTGATCCAGAAAATCAAAGAAGAAAGTAAGAATTTTCTGAACATCAAAAAGACCAAGCTCATAACCATTGCAAGGGAAACATCCAAATAGAAATTGATGATGAAGATAGAAAGTGTGGAAAAAATTCACTTCCCTTGGACCGCAGATAGCTCAAAGCGATGAATGCAGTGCAGAAATAAAATGTTAGATTGCACTGGGTTGCACAGCAATGATGAACATGGGCTGATTATGGAAAAACAAGGACATTAGCCTGGAAACCAAATGTAGATTAGTTCACTCTATTTTGTTCCCGATATGGTTGTGAAAATTGGACTTTAAAATAGCAAGACAGGAAGAAAATCAATTCAATGAGCTGTGGCTCCTGTGTATTCCTTGGAAAGCAAAGGTGACTAACAAATACTGGAGGGCACAACACCAGACATATTACTAGAAGTCTCACTTACTTTGACCATGTCATGTAGAGGAATTTACTGGAGAAAGCAATTACCATATTTTTCCATCTATAAGATGCACCCATGTATAAGACACTCTCTGCGCCGATCAGCTGTTCGGTGGAGTGCCAAACAGCTGAGCTGGCAAATCTGCAAGTTCCACCAGCAGAAGATCTTTCCCCCTCCCCCCCATTAGTGGTAAGACCACAGGGGCTTGACACTTGCATCAGGCTGCATGGAACCACACAGGCATGCCCTGGGCTGCGGAGGTTACCATTATTTTTCTGTGTATAAGATGCACCTGATTTTTGAAGAGGGTGTTTGCACGAAAAAATAGCATCTTATACACGGAAAAATACGGTATGCTTGGAAAAGTTAGCGAAACCAGGCCATCGAAGAACATGATGGCTGGACACCATCAAAGCTGACACCAGCCAAAGCATAGAAAACCTCAAAGAAATAGTGCAAGATCAGAAGATGTGCAGAGACCCGGCCCCTAGAATCAACAAGAGTTGGACTCAACTGGAGAACATCATCATCCGCTGAGGGTCTTTCTCCAAAATCTGGAACATGCCTACCTACCTACACACAGAGAGAGAAAGAGAGAGAGAGAGAGGGAGAGAGAGTTGGATTTTAGGAAAATTAGGAAAGTTATAATCCCGTCTTTGCTTTTTAAACTCAGAGCATTTCTCTGCATCTGTCAGACCATCTTACAGCCACCATATTTGTTAGGTCACTTTACCTTGGTGAGATATTGATAATGAGCCACGTCCCCAGGATGGTGATAAGAGAGTGAAGGATGTGGATCTGGCAAGTCACCAGGATAAGGGCAAGTCCTACAAAAGCTGCCCCATATTTTTTGGTCTTTGAACCTATTAAACAAAGAAAGGAACACATTTTTCCATCGTCTAAAGATGTACACCCTGAACTGTGAGTTTGAGGCATACTTTATTTGCTTGCTTGAATATACAACCTATCCAGCTCCACAGTTTCTAAGAACCTACATCCAAATAAAACTTATAAAATTGCCTATGGAGATTTGCAATCAGCCAGGTCACGATTGTCCCAAAGATGCTTTTTCCAAAAGATAAAACGGGACTTTCTTAAGTTTTTCCTTTAAAAACATTTCGCTTCTCATCCAAGAACCTTCTTGGATCACGGCAAATAGCCAGGAATGTACAACCGTAATGGAATCTGCCCATTACGGTTGCCAGTCACGATGGTTGTAAAGCAGATCACCTATGTGACAGACCTGATTTTATAACCACTTTGGCAGCATTTGTTAAGTGAATGCAACAGTTGTAAAGCAAACCAATTGTTCACTGTGGATCGTTTTTGCCAAAATCTGGAAATTTCAGTTTTCAGCAACACTATCATAAAATGCAGTCCCTTGTGACAACGGAATGCTGCAAAAGGCTTTAAATGTGAGTCAGCTGCTGAGTGCCCATGGGAAGGGGCCCTGCGGCTGTTAAAAGTTTGGAACCAGGTCATAACTACTCCTGGGGAAGTCTATCATAACTTGGAACAGTTGCTAAGCCACTGGTCATAAATCAAGAACTACCTGTAATATGCAGATCCCATGTATTGTTATTTCTCACCATCCCCATTTAAAAGGATTGACAACAGCTCCATTTCACATCCCGTCTTCTCAGAGTTCCTTTGGATATGCACTTCATACAACTTGTTTGCTCAAACCAGGAAGCCCTTTAGGGAGTTGAGTTAAAGGCAAGGCCTTCTGACATGAATCCCAGGACAGTTTCTTATGAGGTACTGTTCTGATCCAAACAAGAGATTTGCTTTATTCCTGTTTGTCACAGATTAACTCCAAAGACAGATTAATATTCAGATTATTTATTCTTCAGGAATCTCTAAATAATAACTCACAGTTAAGAAGAGTTCTTCTAAGGCACATATCATAATCTGTCCAATCTTGTGGTGTAAAAAATTAAAGGTAGATTCACCCCATGTTCATTGGAGCAAAGGGTCCTGTGTCTGTACTACACAAAACTTTACATGCTGGCCTGTTGCCAGGAAATCCTGTCATAAAACATTGAAGTCCCTCCCAATGGCTAATTAAGACATAGAACTGACCAATTAGGACACAGATATAATCATGTAACAACTAAACTACATTTCCCAGAAGCCATCTCTTAAGGAGACAGCATTTAACCCCTTAAATGCTACTTATATAAGCTCTGACCAGATGGTTATATACATATTGGTCCAGCACAGGTACCTAGCAGCATTTCCTTCTTCAGGTTTCACACTTACCCACTTTCTTGAAGAGGAAGCCAACAGGTATAGAGATGAGAAGGACTGCCAAGTAGACAATTTCATCAGGTGACATTGTAGCTGGCAAGAAATACAGAATTAGGTCAATCTGCATGGATCAATGGAAGAAATATTGGAAATATGGAGCACAGGGCAGTGACACCAGCTCTGCACTTGAATTTTGAGAAAGAAGGGATATAACGGGAAAAATAGGAAGTGATTTTGTGATTTTTTTGATTGCCTATACACATGTATGGAAAAGTAAAGCAGGTAGATCAGACCACCTGAGGTTGAGAACTTGATGACAGGGAAAAGGGAATATTATTTTGATACAAGAGATTAATAACAGATTTAAAAAGCAGTACTGGCCCAACACGTATTTTCAGCAAATGTGTGGTTAACTTAGAGAATCAGTTTTGTCTGATTAAAGCACCAGGCGACTGCGAGTTCTAGTTCTGACTTAGCCAAGAAAGCCAGCTGCGTGACTTTGGGCCAGTCGCTCTTTTGCTCTTTCTCTCAGACCACAACATCAGGCTTTGGCAACAAGCCGATTGGTCAATTACTTTCATAACCAAGTTGATCAACACTTGGTTGATCCAAAATAAGCAGACCTGGCACTTGTGAGGAAACACTATGAAGTAAAAATAAAAATGTGTGGTTAATTTAATTTGCACTGTGAGATAAGGTAATTATTTACCTACGTAGTCATAAAGACTAAGTAAGTTGAGCAAGGCTACTAAAGCTTCATTCAAACTGAGGCCTCTTCCGAGACAATCCTTCACTTCTCACTGTAGCCTACAGCCCTCAGGCTATCTAAATATTAATCAGGACTCATCATCCTTTTGGAATCAATTAAAGTAAACCAGTTGTTGCCAACTTGCTCTGTGAGAGAGGCAAGACTATCAATCTTAAGCAGAATCAATAGCAAATATCACAATCCCAACTGAGAAAGACTAAGACAAATCAATCAAGACTCAAATGCTGATTGGTTGTCTCTCCCCCCCCCCATCCACCTCTGATGCTCAGATCAGCAATGAAATCTGGCAATGCTTCTTTTTATCACTTCATCTCCAGGCTTGCAAAAATACAACATCTCCTCTTACATACTTCTGTCTGCTTGGAAATCACTTGGGGTGGTTTTCAGCAATGAATCAGCAGGGTAGGGTAATAAATTCTGTAATAATAAGGAAAGGGAATAAGGCATGCCACCAAGAGACATATGTGCTTTTTGAAATTAGCTTGAAGCATACTTTTGCCAAGACTGATCTTGTTGTATTAAATAGAAAAGGACAACTTAAGGGTGTTAAGAAGAAACATTTCTATTAGTCTTGGACATCTTACTTCTCAGGACTGTTGAAAACATATTTCAGGAATAAACTGCAGAAAAGTGGAAAAGGAGAGAGCAGCTAAAAAAAAAAGGAACACATCCTTAAGACCACACTATCAGATGTACCGGTAGCAGCAGCAGAGGATACTGAATGTTAAGAGTCAGGAAGAATTCAAGAGAGCAAGAATGAGCAACATTTCCTCTCTTTTTTTTGAAATCCTTAAAAATGTGGATTTCCTGCATAACTGCATTCTGAGCTGGTCTACAAAAATCTTTGTTTCTCAGTAGTGGAAAGTGATCACATCCTTTTGGTGGGAGGGGGAGGTTGCAATATATTTTATTAAAAGTTTTACAAAGAATATAAAAACCAAAACTAATAAAGAATAAAAGTAGTAAAGAAAGGAAGAAAAAAGAAAAAATGAAAAAGGAATAAAAAGAAATAAAGCTTCTGATTTCTTTTGCAGCAAATAAGTACAATTACAAAATAACCCTTTACTTTAAGATTACAAAAAAACAAGCTCTTTCCTATTTATTAGGATTACACCCTTGTGCATGCTCTTGCACAAGCCACTCCACTTCTACATTCAGCCTGCTTTTTCCCAGCTGTAACTTATGAACATCTGTCTTCCCAAACTTTTGCTTCTCTCCCCACAGGTCAGACTCCTTTGTGTTAAAAGGGTGCCACTGAATGTACCCAAGTGGCCAGATCAGAGTTCCAGAGAAACCAAGTTACCTTCCACTTATTTCTACCCTTCTCCAACTAGATAACAGTTCGGATGAAGGAAAGTCCAGAGGATCCAACACCCTCTTGTGAGTCACTCAAACAGATTTTATACACACCCCTTTCTCCAGCTGGCTCTGAAGAACTCATTTAATGTACAAAAAACAAACAAAAAAAAAAAACAAAAACCCAAGCAAGGAAGAAGGGGGAAGTGCCCTGTACAGGCAAAGAAAACAAATTGTATATAGATAGAGGCTTTGTAATGCAAGAAAAATGCAAGTTATGGGCCCAGAGGTTAAAGGAAAATATTGAGTTTGCGTTGCCAAAGATGATATTGAAATTCAGTGAGAATTTCCTCTTCAGGTTAAATAGCCACAGAACTTGGAGGAATGGTAGAAGCGTATTTAATAACAGGTCAAGCAAAACACTTCAGGGAAATTTTGTGCAATCATATAAATTTCCAAAAGAAATAAAGGTATAGTTTTTATGTCAAAGGCAACTCAGTAAAAATAAGTACAGTATAATTTAAGGCCTGTCAAATTCTTCCTTGCCTGTTTCAGTCCACTCAGAAGGTGCTCCGGGTCTCAGATTTATGCCTCTGAGGAGGGAGATGTAGAACACATTTTTTCCACAGTACAATAACTCAGTAACATTGGAGGAAAGGGCAAATCTTAGAAAATAATTTCTGAAACAAAATCTTTGATAGCCTGAAGTTACTCTCAGGGGTTAAGGGGTTCTGTTTACTTATTTATATCCTGCCTTTATTATTTTTATAAATAATTCAAGGGGATATAAACATGCCCAATAATCTTTATTTATATCCTGACTTTATTATTTTTTTTATAAACAGCTTAAGGGGGTAAACATGTCCAATAATCTTTCTACCTCCTATTTTCCCCACAACTGTGAGGTGGGCTGGGCTGGGCTGAGAGAGAGTGCCCCAAAGTCACTCAGTCACCATTTTTGCCTACGGTGGGGACTAGAATTTAGAATCTCCTGGTTTCTAAAAATCTAAAATTCGAGATTTAGATAACCTAGAAATCTCGTTTGGTCCTTAAGTAACCAAATTTATATCTCGAATTACATAAAAACGCTTAACGCAGTTGTCTGAGCTCTATAAAAATACTAACTGCTCTTCAACAGTTGTCCTACACATTTTCAAGGCAAGCACTTCTAGACTAGCTTCCCGCCTCTATCCGGCACCCGCCTGTTGCCCTGGATTGCAACATTGGCTGGGGACGAAGGGCATCGTAATCCATCTCATTTGGAGGATGCCGGGAACTTGGAAGGAGCCTGCTTAAATTAATCCGGGGTTGCAAACCCTCGCCTAGAATTTAGGGCCCCCATACCATCCCCGTCCCCAGCGTTAATCCTCCGGGGTACTTTCCACTCCACCCCGATTCCCCCCGTCCCTTCCTTAAATCTCCCCGTCCCACGCGAGTAACTCACCCTGGGCAAGGGAGCCCTCTCCGCCACGCGCGAGTTGTCCCAAAGGGAGGGTGGCGTGGGGGCACTTTGCAGGGCGGGCAAAAGAGGCCGGAGGGTCTCAACTTCGTGCAACATGCAAGGCGAGGACGAGCAGAGCGAGACCCGCCTCCCCGGCTGGGATCCACACGCTTTGATTGGGGATCTCCCGCTTGCCTGCGCGCCTCCTGGTTTCCTGTCTCTCGCGCAATCGCTTCCTTTACAAAAGCGAGCGTCTCTCTCTCTCTCTCTCTCTCTCTCTCTCTCTCTCTCGAGCGTGTCTGGAAGCGAGTGGCTCTTGCGTTTTTTTTCTCTATCTAACCCCCCCGCAGTTCTCCTTTTCGTCCGCTCCCTCCTTTGCCTCGCGGAAACCAGCCGGTGGCCTTTGCTTGCCTTGCGTATTGGTTCGGGGAGCCGTCCTTCCCAGCCGCTCAGCCGGTGGCTTAAAAGGTGATTGGTGGATTTCTGTAGCTCCGCGGGGGCGGGAGTCGGAGAGGGCCGGGCTGTGCGGTCTGCAAGACACGCGGGACGCTTGCGCTATCGGGGCAGAAGGGGCTTGAAAGTAACGGGAAGAGAGAGGGGCGCCTGGCTACGGTGAGCATCTTTTCTTGGGGGAAGAAAAAAAGGCGCAAATCCGAAAGAGGCGCACAAAGGGGGGGGGAACTATATTTATAACTTCGCTTTACAAAGGAGAATTCAAGAGCAAAACCAACAAGAAAAAATTTACAAAACGCATATTCTAATACAAGTATCTGAACTGGGAGCCAACTTGGTTTAGAGCAGTGGTTCTCAACCTTTTTAATGCCGCGACCCCCAACCGGTCGTAAGTTGAGGACTACTCAACCAGTCGTAAGTCGAGGACTACTCAACTGGTGCAGGACCGTTTGCAGAATGGGACTTTTGGCGGGCTCAGCAGGGCAGAGACAGCCTGGACAATTCCTATTGGCTTTGAAAGCCAATAGAATTAGACTCTATTCAAGAGAGTCTATTCTATTGGCTTTCAAAAGCCAATAGAATAAAAGGGAGTAGCACAGCTAAGGAAAAGGGGGAAAAAATGGCGGACTGCGTTGTTTGGCGACCCTCGTGAAATGGTCGTTCAACCCCAAATGGGGTCCCGACCCACAGGTTGAGAACCACTGGTTTAGAGGTTAAGGCTAGAAACCCGGAGACTATGACCCAAAGGTGCTTTTCTCAAGAGGTAGCTGGATTTTCTTCAGAAGCTAAAGAAACTTCTTGGATGAGAAGCGAAACGTCTTCAAAGGAAAAATAAAGAAAGTCCAGTTGCCTCTTGAAAAAGAACCTTTGGGACAACCATGACCTGGATGACTGGGAATCTCTGTAAATATCAGGAGACTATGAATTCTTATAGTTTTGCCTTAGGCACAAAAACAGGTGGGGTGACTTTGGGCCAGTCTCTCTTTCAGCCCAACCCACCTCTCAAGGTTGTTGTGAGGAAAGTAGGAGGAGAAAAGAATATTGGATATGTTCACTGCTATGAGTTATTTATAAAAAAATAAAGGTGGGATACAAATAAAGCATAAGCTATACAATTATTAGAAGCAAGTATCGGACAGGATTGCTTCTGTCAAACTGTTCATTTGTATAGTAAAAGTGAAAGTTCTAAAATAAAGGACCAATGTGAGTTTCTGAAATAAAGGACTATCTTTTATAGGTAGTCCTTGATTTACAACCATTTGTTTAGTGACTGTTCTAAATTACAGTGCCATTGAAAAAAGTCACTTATGACTGTTTTTCATACAACTGTTGCCGCATCCCGATGGTCACATGATGGTCACATATTCAGATGCTTGGCAACTGACTCATGAAGGTTGCAGTGTCCTGGGGTCATATGATCACCTTTTGTCAGTCCTCTGACAAGCTAAGTCAATGGGGAAGTGAGATTCACTTAACAACCATGTTACTAACTTAACAGCTGCAATTATTCACTTAACAACTATGGCAAGAAAGGTTGTAAAATGGGGCAAAACTCACTATTGCTGTCTTGCTTAGCAATAGAAATCTAAGTTTAGGATTGGAGCTGGAACTGGAGGAACTAAGGCTCTGAGGTAACTTTTAACCCAATCTGATGCATTTTGTGTGGGTTAGATTTTTGAAGGGCGACAGGATGGTTAAAGCTCTTCCTGTGATGGAAAACGACAGGATGCCCTGTATGTTTAGTAGAGTCTGCTAAAGTCCCAGCTAAGATGGATTTGATGCAGGGATTAATTGAATGATTTTGTAAAATGACTATCAAGCAATATAGGCACAATCTTAACAAACAGGTAATCAGAAGCCAGGCCCCGACATTTGGTAGCTTCTACTTTCAGGTAAATGTGCAAATTGGGACAATTTAGCTGCAGACACTTCTCCTTTTCTTCCTCCTCCTCCTTCATCTGTTAAGAGGTTAGCATGCAACCAAGCCATCTGGTGCATCCCCCATCCATAAGACTGTTACCTGTGGTTTCCTCTTAGCTCTCAGTAGAACGTGTGGACTCCTTTTGAAATATCTATTGCCTATTTCTCAGAAAAGAACTTTTGACAAGGCAGCTCTGAGAACAACTAACTCCAGTCTATTCAGCTAAGCCTAACCCAGATTGAAGGGCTCCTTAATAAAAGTCTCAAGATCTGCAGTGGCCACTGGTAGCCTCATTAGTGAGCTTTCTAGTGAAAAGGAAAACGAGAGCCTTGTTTGTGTTAAAAACCACCCTTTGGTTGTAAGCTTACTAGGAAATCCCAGGAATAGCTGAGCCTTCCACCTTCCATATCAAAAATACCTGAATAGCTTGTTACTTCAATCCTCTTCTGATGTTGCAGGCTCAGGCATGATCCGAATCTACCTCTTAGAGGGAAAGGCATTTGTGTGGAACTACGCAGATGCACGGCAAATCCGAGAGGAACATCGCATTGTCGGCGTACTGGTGGGGGCATTGCCTCGGAAGCCACGGCAGAACGTGAGGCTTGGGCTGCCCTTGGAATTGCTTCCCGAAGAGGCTCGGCTGTTATTGGAAAAGGGATTGGCAACCCTGGTTAGGAGCCCGACCTCTCAGTCCCTTGGCGATGGGAAGAACCAGGTAATGTTTAACTCACTTTTGACTTAGAAGTGAAGGATAAACTCCCCAGTTCCCAAACTTTGCAAAGTGCAGAGATCAATCATCTACATCAGGGCTTCTCGAACTTGGCCACTTTAAGACTTGTAGACTTCAACTCCCTGGCTGGGGAATTCTGGGAGTTGAAGTCCACAAGTCTTAAAGTGGCCAAATTTAAGGACATTCCTCTATTGGTAGGCTTTGACTTACAACCACAACTGAGCCCAAAATATCCATTGTTAAGCAAGGTGGTTGTTATGTGAGCTGCACCCGGTGGTATGATCTTTTTTTGCCATAGTTGTTAAATGAATCACAGCAGTTATTAAGTGAATCACCATAGTCATTAAGTAAATCTGGCGGTCTCACTTTGACTTTGCTTGTTGAAAGGTGACTGGGAAGGTCACAAATGGCGATCACATGATCCCAGGATGCTACAACTGTCATAAATACATGCCAGTTGCCAAGCACCCAGATTTGATCACATGACCGTGGGACTCTGTGACAGTCACAAGTTCGAGAACCAGTTGTAAGTCAATTTTTTCAGTGCTGCTGTAACTTCGAATGGTCACTAAAGAAAGGGTTGTAATTCGAAGACTATTGGTAATTTCTTCCAGCAACGAAATTACGACGTAGTATCAGCTTTTTTTCAACAGCCAGTTATCCCTTTTTTCTGTCCCTTCCTCCCCAGCTGTGCAATAAAGCAAAATAAGCTCAGACATCAGTGTAATATCACAGCTGGAATATCCAAGAAGTTAGCACCAGTTTTATGTTTTATAGTTTCTCTTCCTGACCTATTTGTGCAGCAGAATTAAGTACTAATGGTGAGTGCCATTTCAAACTGCCAATAGGAGCTATCCAAAATTTTGTGTTTGGGGGGGAAAAAAAAAGCTAGTAAAAATTCCAAAGCAATTTCAATAGATCCATTTGTTTTATGTTACTTTTCAGCTGGCAGTGAATGTTTCCATGTATGATCCAGAGCAGAGGTCCCCAACCTTTTAGGCACCAGGGACCGGTTCCGTGGAGAGAGATTTTTCCACGGACCGGAGGGTGCGTAGTTTTGTGTGCTGCCTGCATCCCGCAGATGGAGCTTTGCTTGCTTGTGCGGCCCAATTGCTGGCATGCTGCGGACCGGTAGTGGACCACAGACCGGAGGTTGGGGACCCCTGATCCAGAAGGTGTATGTGTGTATAAAGAAGTACCTCATTTTGCTGCAAATAAGACAAGGTTTATTTTAGAGAACTGACTTGGATTATTCCAGAGCTCAGAGAAAGGAATAATGCTTGTCAATCATGTCCCCTTCCAGTAATACTAATCAGCATGGCCAACCTGACTGCAAGGTTGCTTATGTTGACCACACTGAGTTTGCTGTTTTTGTATCTTCAGGACATCTTATGCCCAGAGAAAGCAGTTGCCTATGAGAAAGAGCTAGAGGAGAACTACCAGGAGCAGCTGAGGCTCTCTGCAGAACAGAAGAAAACCATATTGGAGTCTCTTGCAGACCATATAACCCAGGGCCGAGCAAAGAAATGGCAACAGAAAGGAGAAGGAGAAGGTGAGCTAATGTGTATATTTGGTTATTGTGACGTTTCATTTGGTTAGGAACCCTGAAATCCCATAAAACCATTGGACAGGTTGGACAATTTTTTCATTGTTAAGTGAAGTTGGTGCTTAAGCAGAATAGAATGTCACTAATGAAGACGAATATACGTGACCCAGGATAATGTTGCAGGATCCAATCTGGATCGGTCACTGAGACCCGAAGGTTTTGCCTTCTGACCTTTCAGACTTGTGCTGGAGCCCATCTTCAGGGAACTTCTCTCTAGCGTAGTGTCTGTTCTCTAACAAACTTTGCTAGAAGAAGATCC